GGAACTTTATCTGGAACATCACTGACTTGTTATTCAAAAGTGAGAATCTGACTTGAATTTTTCCAACTAAAACATGGACACACTTAGGAAATAATTAAGGACAAAATGTAGCAGATAAGATGATACAAATGGGAGAGTATCCCCTCAGTAGAAATACAAGAAGAAAGAAGTCTGTGGTCAGACCCATCCTGGGCAGCATTAAAATAGAAGAGTTGAGTTTCAGTTACAGGATATGCGGAGACAATTACCTACTGAACATAAAGGATGTCAACGAATGCTCACTGAATGAGCACCTACTTAAGAAATCCTATTACATCTGTGACTCTCCGCTCCAGACACACACTATTAAGAACTCCTTCACACTGTCTCCTGCTTTTCCTTTATAACCATTTCACAAGTCACCCAAGGCTCTTAGCATACAGAGTTGACTAATACATCGGAGTTTTCTCTTAACCTTCTGGCAACTGGTCTCCCCCCAGGCCAATCCTCTTCCTGGGGCAAAGAGATTGGTTTCTCCCTCAGGTCAATGTCCCATACAGACCTTTTGTCCTATACTGTGTGTGTGTGATCATTATAAAATTTACTTTCTATTTTTGTGAAAGTTATGCATGCTGTGCTTTAAAGTCAAATATTTTTTAAAGCTTATAGTGAAAAAACAGCAGCCCACAGCCTCACCCTTTCTCACTCCTGAATCTGACTCCCCATAGGCAACCACTTGTAATTCTTTTACCTGCTTCCTCTAATACTCATTTCCAATTTTCTAAATATTATTCTTATCCAACTGCTACTTGCTAATCTTTCTGTTTTAGGTATTGCTTATGGACTTTCCCATTGTGGAACCTAGGATTTCAGTCTCTGACATTCCCTTCTCCTCCTCCTACTTATTCTCTCTTGTGTTCTCAAGGCAACCATAGCACCATACGGGCTGTCTCAAAATCCAGTGTGAACAATGCACATCTGACTGACAGTTGAGCTGTATGGAGTACCTACTTCGCTTATATTCTTTTGGTGATAATACTTCTGTATTCTGTGGAATTCATTGCTTAGATTGATATATGTGTGTGCAAATACATACAAATATTTATATATTCATATATAGTTTTGGAAAAAACATTAAACTTTTCTAACTATACTAATACACATTGGGAATTATTAATTCTATTTTTTCTTAAAGATATCATTTTTAGAGCTTTCTGTCATTCTACTCAAGTCTGAACTTGGTGATCCCTAGACTTTCAGACAGTTAGCATCCTAGACTTCCCTTCATCATCATCCTGGAAAACTTTCTTCCTCTCTGATGAATCTCTTGTTTCCATGAGTAGCATGTCCTTTCTCCCTCCTCCATGAATTCCTTATTTTTAGTGACTCGCATTCTCCAGTAACTTCTTCAGAAAGAGTGTCTCAAATACTGCAATTTCATCCTCACAAATTAACTGCTATTTTGGCTAGGTATGGAATTCTATCTTGGAAATTTTTTTCCTTCAGAAAGTTTTAGGAGGTTTTCTATTGGTTCCTAACTTTCAATATCATTGAGAAGTCCAAAGCCATCCTAACTCCAAAGCCATCCTAACTCCAGATTCTTTATAGATAAAATTCATCCCCTTAATAATCACCAGAAGCTTACAGAATATTATCTTACTCAGATGCTCTGAAATGTCATGATTTATCTTGGAGTGGTCTTCTCTCTTTCATTGTGTTGAGTTGTCAGTGGGCATTTTTTTTATTAATTCATCCGTTCTCAGTTATCTCCATACCCACTTCCCATTTCCTTGCCATATAAATAACTGCTACATTATATTCAGTGTATACTTTTTAATGAATTTTTACAAACTGTGTACATTTTTTATTTATGTGGATGATACTATACTGTCTCCTTCTTGTTGTCACTAAACTCTGCTTTCAATGGGTACATGGTCTTTGCTGCTCCTAACTGCCACATAATATGTCATGGTCTGCATCCAAGAGACAGCTCACTACTCTCTTAGTTATGGATACCCAGATTTTCACTAAGTCTCCACTATAAAAACCTAATGACAGAAAGAGTGTCTTTGCACATATATCAACAGATCTTTTAAATTTGGCAGTGTGAGTTTACTAGTTCTAAGAACATTTTTGGTATTTTTCTTTATTAATTTCTTTCTATCCATTTCCCTGTTTTCTTTACGGAATTTTTATTAGTTCAATGTTGAAACAAATCTTTGGTTTTCTTATTTTTGTTCTACTTTCTGTGCGATTTAAACTTTATAGTCCTACCATTTACTGTTTATTACATTTTTATACTTTTTACATTAATTCATTGTACATTAATATAAATTTTACATTAATTATTTTACATTAATTTCCAAATGCTCTTAACTGCTAAGTGTTTTTTTTCCTAGCAATCTACTATCGTGTGGATAATCTCTTCTATCTCTGCTGATATTAATTATGCTTTTAAAAAATTACTTTCTGCTCCCTTCATTATTCATATTCCCTCAAGCTCCTTCTACCTATTTATTATTTTGATTTGTCTTTGTGTTGGACCTTTTCTTTGAATGCTGATGACCCCTAACTGTGTTCATGTTTAAGATCAAGGCACAAAAGGCTTCTTGGAAGCTCCTGTGAATGGTTGGGGCTTATAGAATGGGGGGGGGGGTAGTGGATGACTCAGAGAAGGCAATGGCAACCCACTCCAGTACTCTTGCCTGGAAAATCCCATGGATGGAGGAGCCTGGTAGGCTGCAGTCCATGGGGTCCCTAGGAGTCGGACATGACTGAGCGACTTCACTTTCACTTCTCACTTTCACACATTGGAGAAGGAAATGGCAACCCACTCCAGTATTCTTGCCTGGAGAATCCCAGGGACGGGGGAGCCTGGTGGGCTACCATCTATGGGGTCACACAGAGTTCGACACAACTGAAGCGATTTAGCAGCAGCAGCAGCAGTGGTGACTAGTACTTGCCTCTCCCAAAGATGTGTCCACATCCTAATTCCTGGAATCTGTGAACACTCCCTTATTTGGAAAAAGGTAATGTAATTAAGGATCTTGAGATGAAAAGGTCATGCTGGATCATCCAGATGACACTAAATCCAACAACAAGTGTCCTCATAAGAGAGAGACAGAAGGAGGTTTCAGACAGAAAAGGAGGCAATGCAGCCACAGAGGCAGAGACTGGAGTGACATAGTCACAAGCCTCGGAAAGCCTGGGGCCAACAGAGGTTGGAAGAAGGAGGAAAGAAATTCTCCCCTAGATCCCTTGGAGGTAGCACCACCCTGCCAGATTTTGGCCCTCTAACCTCTATAAGACAGTCTCTCTCACACTTTTAAACCACCTGATTTGTGATAATTTGTTGCGGCGGCCAAAGGAAACTAATAAGTGAACTTCACCACAAGTGATGGGTCAGACCATTTTTCTGGTCATCATCAAATATCAGGATACAAAGGTCTTTTCTCTTCAGATGGATGGGTTTCCACAGAGGAATGCTGTGAAACCCTCTCCCCCTCCTTCCCCAGACTGCTACAGTTCTGAGAGCCAAGCAGTAGAATTGGGCTGGAAACATGACATCCAGTTCGTGGACTTTCAAATAATACTTCTGTTTTCACTACAAGAGATCAACCCCATCTAATATTAAACTCTGTTTAAACATGGTGGGTTAAACCAAGTTGGTCATCTCCTGTGTGTCCACAAACCCAAGCTTTTCTGATTCAGCCTTGACAGAGAGGAAGTCTTCTAACCAGGGCAGTGTGGGGTTGGGTGGGGCAGACATCTGTGAGTATTGTTTGGTTGAGGGACGGACATATCTAAATGTTCCTCACAAGGATTTATGAAAAATCTTGTTTAGCATCCCCCATAACCCAGCTTTACATGATGCCTCAATTCCTGACCCTTTCTTGGCATTCCTCATTGTAGTTAATGGAGCCTCAGCTTTCACGCCACTAGATTAGTTATCATTTACTCTCTGTCTCAAACATTTTGTTGGCAACTCTCATTTGTTTTCATACCCTCTCCTATTCTCTCTGTCACTGTGTCCTTCTCAAAATTTATTTCCTGTGTTTGTGGATGTACAAGAGATACCAACTTGGTTCAATCCACCATGCTTAAACAGAAGCACCACTTTATAAATTTCCATTTCAAGAACATTTGCCATTCAGACAAGAAATTATGTTCAGTTTTGCTCAGAAAACAGAAGACCCTCTCCGGCCCTTCTATTTTCTCCTTTCAATTCCCAAAGTGAAATTTCCACTTAAGTTAAATTAGGTCACATCATAGTCTTCTCACTCTCCATAACAAATCTCATTTCGTCATGTTGGCTTATGGGGTGGTGCTCCCCTTTCTGAATACTCCCATGTATTCTATTTTATTCTATTACATATTTTGAATCCCAAGCAAAATCCCAATCCTTTATGAAACCATTCCTGATAACTTCAGACTATATAGATTTGTCCCTTCCCCAGACAAATGAACTATATCTTATATTAGCAAGTAAACAAACTTCTGCTCCCTGTTTCAAGTGTTGTTGTCTTTTCAGCAAAACATAAGTTTTTTTAAGGGCAAAAACTACACCTTAAACTTTATGTGCTCCTTGTAATGCTTATCATGGCATTGAACACTGAATGTTTGTTAACTGATGTACAGTAATTCAAGCCACAAATATGAAATTTGATGTCCAATACAAGATAGAGTAAGAACCTTTTGAGGATACAGTCTGTATCTTATTAAACATTATATGCCTAACAACCAGCACAGCATTTGACAAAATTGGTCTCTCTTGAGTGATGGAATGAAAGAATGGATAAATGGACCCTCACTACATATCATGTTCAATGTTGTACCAACTTAAGATTTTCAATTCCTAAGAATACTAAAGATGATTAAAACGACTGTATTCCCAGCACCTAGAGCAGCTTTTGGCCCAAAGGAGCTGCTCAGTAAATGAGGGTTGCATGAACGAATTTGCAAGAAGTCCAGAGCATTAGTTTATAGTCAGAGAGAAGAGAAAAGAGAAACATCTGGCTTACCCGGAAAGCACTCCCAGGACGAGGTTGAGAACAAAGAAGGATCCAATGATGATGAGGGGGATGAAGTACAGCCAATTCCAGGTGGCTCCTAAGGCATCATTGGTCTGAAAGAAAGAAAAATGGTTCTTTAGTATTATACTTCATCAAAACCATCTGCCAGGTGAAGGCCTCCATTCCCACAGCTTCACATGTAGGGTTATGCAACAAGTACAGTGCAATACAGACATACATTGCGTTGCTTCACTCCCGATTTGATGTGATTGTAGGTTAACTCATTCTCCCATGTATACTGTGCAGGGCACCATGTCACTGTCACACAACAGCCTGTGTTTGAATAGTCTAATATCCTCACCCAATGGATAACAGTCCAGAAAGGTCAAATATTTTTCTAAGATCACACAAATAATCACTGGTTTTATAGTGTTTGGTGATGTGGGTTCTAAGCCTTTCTACTCTAAATTAAGCAAATTTTCAGAAGACAGAGGCAAGTATGTCCATCATTTTAGTCCAGGGATTCTGGTAAGGCTATGGCAGGCTGCTTGGGAGAAATGAGTGTTATCCACACCCTGCTCAGCTGCTGACCCTGGGCTCTGGCTTCCTTTCTTCCATCTCATCATGGTCCAACAGTACACAGCTAGACCAGGCCAGGCCTTGGGAAGGCTTGAAAAGGGATCCCTTATTCTCTCTGTAATGCTAACACATCGTGAACTAAACCCCGCATGGAAATCCACATTCTGGATTCTAATACCACAAGTGTGATGCCAGGTCTCTGAATGGTAGAGGTTGAGGGAGGATCATATCACGTGGCTCAGTCAACTCCCCCAAAAGAAAAAAAATCAACTCTTGGTAGGATTTCTCATTAAGCACCTTGCAACGGTTTTGGAACACTTTGAAAGTCCCATCTAACACTTGGATCTCTCAACTAAGCTTTCCCTTGACTCTCTCTTCCCATGATATCAACCCCAAATCCTTCTAATTAGTCCACCTGAATTACATTTTGCATACACAGGGCTTTGAAATCCCTCCCAATCCCATCCTACTCTCTCACACACAAACTTTAATACTTGTTTGAAACTCAACAGTTTCTGGAAAGATATTTATTCCCAATTCACTGGAGAAACAAGGCCATCCAAACCAAACGCCATGCCTAAAATTCACACACTAAATTAGCAAAATGAAGATCCGAACTCAGAATTTCTATGGCAAAGTGTTTCTTGTCTTGATGTACCTTTTTCTCCCTCTCACTTTGCCAACATATTTTGATTCATCATCTTCCTGCTTCCCGTGGACTTCTATGACATTCTATCTTGTTTTTCCCCCAAATTATCTCATTTTCCTTCTGCTTCCCAATCAAATATGTCAGCCTATAAAATACAGCCTCCCACTGATCATGGCAACTATCACTGCACAATAGATTTTTCCATTAAAAAACAGCTTCTAAGGCAACCTCTTTCACCAAACTTGTCTCTTTGTCTTGCCCCTACACTGTTCAGAGAGGTATGTTTGCAAATGAAGCAGAATAAGAGATAAAAACAAACACCTTCTGAACTGAATGAACAAAAGCAGAGACCTGACAATTTCAGTAAATAAGAGCTAGTGTTTTGGTTCAACAGGTCTGGTGAGTCAAATGCAAACAAAGAAGATGTGGGCCAGACCTTAGAGGAAACAGCTCCTGGTATCAGAAGGAAGATGCCAAGGCCTACAGGGGGTTTGAATGTATATCAGTTCAATTCAGTTACTCAGTTGTGTCCGACACTTTGCGACCCCATGAACTGCAGCACGCCAGGCCTCCTGTCCATCACCAACTCCTGGAGTTTACTCAAACTCATGTCCATTGAGTTGGTGACACCATCCAAACAGCTCATCCTCTGTTGTTTCCTTCTCCTCCCACCTTCAATCCTTTCCAGCATCAGGGTCTTTTCAAGTGAGTCAGTTCTTCACATCAAGTGGCCAAAGTATTGGAGTTTCAGCTTCAGCATCAGTACTTCCAATGAATATTCAGGACTGATTTCCTTTGGGATGAACTGGTTGGATCTCCTTGCAGTCCAAGAGACTCTCAAGAGTCTTCTTCAGCACCACAGTTCAAAAGCATCAATTCTTCAGAGCTCAGCTTTCTTTATAGTCCAACTCTCATATCCATACATGACTACTGGAAAAACCATAGCTTTGACTAGATGGACCTTTGCTGGCAAAGTAATGTCTCTGCTTTTTAATATGATGTCTAGGTTGGTTATAACTTTTCTTCCAAGGAGCAAGTGTCTTTTCAACAACTCTGTGGCTTAGACAGTCACCCCCACCCTTAGCCCTCTTTGGCAGCAAGAACTCAGTCCGCTCCCAGTACCCTAATCAGGGCCCAAGTGCCAATAAGCATTAGTTGGTGTCAGCAATAGCAATGATGAAATTGTGGCTTTTAAGCTCTCTTTGGTCCCAGGAGTGACTGTGCTGTGTCTTGAGGATGGGGAGAGCAATTTCAGTTGGGTGACTATTTGCCAAAGATGTTGCAGAGTGAAGACTAATTCCCACATTGTGGTCTTCTTATAGCTAGCGATCTGTAAGATGCTCACATGTTCTGCGGAAAATGAGCTTCTGGAATCAAAGAAACTCGGGAAACACAGCAGATTTTATTTTTGCATTAGCCTGTGAGAAGACCCACCCAAAAGAAATAGTATTCAAGTTGTTTCCCCCATCATTTCATATGATTCCTTGATTACAAACCTCCTTTTCAACAGAGACCTATTAACATCAGAAAATACAGCCTGTGAAATATAGGGATAGAAGGACTCCTCTCACAGGCCAAGAGTCTGGGATGTGCTTTCTAACTCTTCTCTAAAATACTCAAGAGTGTTGTGAGAATGTTTTGGTTTTGCTTTAACCTACATTAAGGCAAGAGACTTCACTGTCTGCTCATTTCTGTACCTGAAACCTGACAAAGTGTTTGGTACACACAGGTGCTCAGCCAATCAATAAATGACCATGATTTGAGTAAAATGATTCTCGGATTTAAAAATGCCAAAAATAAATTCATTCTGATATTTTCCCCAAGCTTTATCTGAATTGCATTTTAAAAAGTCATCCACCATGGTATTGGAGCCTGTGGAATGAGAAGATGAGGAGAAAAGAAAGAGAAGGAGAAAAAGAATATCTGGGAGGACCCCGGCATCATGCCCTAGGGGGTTATTAAGGATGACTGACAGCTTAAAAGGTTTTTCTGGAGAAAGCAGCTTGACAGCTCCCCTAGATTATTCACAAACCTTTTAATAGACCTGCTGCACCCTCTTTACACCTTCCTCCTCTCCCTCCGGTTTCCTCTTAGCTCTTCCCCTCCCATCCTTCCTCTCCAGGTGGCCTTACAGCCTCACCTCTATGCCTGTCGGTGGATCAATGACAGGTCCACTAAGACAAGGGAACAAACCTCAGCAGGAAGTGGGCAAGCTTGGGACTTCACGCCTCCCTCCTCCAAAATGGCAAGGTTCTTTCTGATGCTAATTAGAGTTTCAATCTCTTTCTGATTCATCATTATTACAACCTTAAAATTGTCCGGTGTAGGAGAGACAACTACTGCAGTATCTTTTGAGATGGAAGAAGAAGAAAGCACTCGGCAACCCTGAAGGCAGCAAGGGCCCTGACACCATATGAGGTGGGAGTCAGGGGCGCCGAGCAGAAAGTTGCCAGTTCAGCTCCAGAGTTGGGACTGTGCTCCCTCTGGGGTGGGCATGTGTGTCTGTGACACAGCAGGCAGTGGGAGAGTGGAGGGGCTGCCTGCGTGAGAGGAAGCATCTCCCCTTCCCTTCTCTCTCCCTGGTACCCACCTCCCCCAACCCACCTAGCTTCTGTGATCCCAAGCACCTTGGATGTGGGCACATCACACTTCATTCTCCCTACCGATCCTTCCCTCAGGGACAGGAACAGTAACGCTAAGAACTCCGTGCAAGACTGAGGGCAAGAAGACCCACAGCTCTCCCAACACGGTCCACTGATGTCTGGCTCCAGGAGAGAGTGAGTCTCACGGTGGAAGCTTCCCTGCCCAGCCCAGTATTATGGAGCAGCTTAAGTATAAACCAGCCCCTCCTTGCAAAGAAGGCTTGACAACGCATTCCAGCCTCCTCCTTCGCCACCATTCATGGAACACCTACTCTTTGGCAGGCAGTACCCGAAGAGAGCTTTTCTTTGGAGCAGTGTCCTCTTATTTAAGATGCTGAGTCTCCTCCCACTGACCCAGTCAAGCCCCTAGACTCGACAGGCTGCTGTCCTCCACTTCTCTCACCTCCCCGTTCTCTGAGTGATGCACACACGCACACGTGTGCAGGGCGGGGGTGATGACAGACAGACAGCGCATTGGAGGCGGCGGCCCACCTGCACAGGCAGTGCTCGGCGGTAGCGGGCCTGACACAGTGGGAATGTGTTCCTCTGGGAACCTGCCTGCCTGGGGGTGGTGAGACCACCCACTCCCTGGGTAAACAGGCACACATGGCAATTATCACATTAATCTCTGGGGGATAGGGGAGATGGCGGAGGGCAGGGGTGGGAGGAGCTAGATTGGGGAGAAAGATGGGCATGAGGATGGCAGGAGGCAGGGGGCCCCAGGGTTTTCCGGGCACAAGGCTGAAGGCAGGGCTAGCCTCCGTAGTGGGAAGCAGGTCTCTATCAGGGTTCCACAGGGCTCTCTGGAAACCAGGCTGAAGAGCCTCCTCCTGGATGTCCCTGCCGTTCACAGAGCAGCTTCCACCAGGGAGCAGCTTCCATTCAGGGAGGCTGAATGACCTATGGCTGCAGAATTGGGAGGCTGATGAGTTGGGACTGGGAAAATATGGGGGTTCTTTCAGGGGGGAAAAAAGGGTCCTTCCGGGGTGGGGGGAAGGTCTCTCAGATACACCTACTCCCCAGGCTGGAGGCGCCAGCAGGCAACCCCCAGCCTGGACCCCAGCAGGGTTTCTCGGCCAGTGCATCACTAATATCTTGGGCTGGATGATTCAAGGCTGGGTTGGGGAGGAGGAGGCTGTCCTGTTCACTGCATTTGCAGGATCCCTGGTTTCTACCTATTAGATGCCAACAGCATTTTTCCCAGTTGTGACAACACCAAGTGGCTCCAGAACTGCCAAACGTC